ACAGAAGACATATGCAAGATACTGCCCAGCTATGCCTCTAACCAACTTGCTTCTTTTTTCTCTTGTCAGAGGAAAACCTTACCTTCAACATTTGCATGCCTGCATTTTAGAGCTGCAAGACTGGTGTATTATCTCAGTGGTTTGGGCACTTACCTTCTTCTCACCTTCAGAAGGGTGACAGACTGTTGGGTTTTGATCATGCATGCAAATTACTGAAGAGTTTCATTTCAGAGCGAATCATCAAGGTTTGTTTTCTGAGCCTAAACAGTTTTCTTCACATTTATCAACCTGCTTTCTGATGATGTTGAAGATAAAATGGTATTACGAGATATTTACACATAGCCTTGTGACACACATGGAAGGGTGACCCCACTATGACAAGCATCACTTTGCAATCACCTGCTTTATCATTCACCAGGTGGTTAATGGAATTTGTCTTCATGTGTCATCTAGTACTATTTTCAGAGTGCAGCCACACACTGACATCAGTGATTAACATCTCAGATGCTATCACTCCTACAGCAGTTTTAATCAAAAGGTAAAAAATCACTTCTCTAAGGACTACATATGTAGTCCATTATTCGACTTCATTGAAAAACAAGTCATCACAAAAATGAATGTGATAATTATGTTTGAGATTGACCCGACACAGACATCAGTGAGAAGAGAGAACATGAAGAATCCAGCTGTTAGCCCAGTTTTGAGCTTCATTATTTCTGTTTATGAAACCGCCCTGCCTTCAGCTAAGACTTTGAGATTTTTCCATGTGCTGAGGTGTGACATGCTAGTGTGAACACAAGCTGATCTTTTACTGCCCCTAATGGAAGAATAAAACACAACAGATGAAACCTAGGATTTTAAATCTTTATTTTATTGATTATTTTGCAAATACATAGAAGGACATTGATATTTAGTTTGCAAAGCTTACAGTACAACTACATGTTCTATAATATTTCATCTTTTCCTTTTTCAGGGACACAAGTCAATAAAATATAAAGTGAAGTAAGTCCAATGTGATAATACAGTGGAATCATCATCTTCAGGACAAAGAATATCAGCTGTCCTTGTCCTGTGAAATGCTGTTCAAGCAGGGGATGATCTCAGTGATGTCCCAGTGAAGCTTCATGCATACCATCAACCACCAAAGATGAGTGGGAAGCTCTCATCCTGCTAGTACTGATCACCACAAGTGCTGCTTAGAGTGTACCTCACCCATGAACCACCCTTGTGCCCACAGAAAGAGAAACACTTAGAAGTGCTTTCATTTCTAATCCTACTTTACAAAGCAATTAAAAAAGTGGAGTCACAGCTTCTTGCAGTTAGCTTGTGCGGACACATGACGTTTTCATAACAATACCAATATTCTACTACAGTATAATGTCCTCAAGATAAAAAAGTTCAAGTGTAACATACAGATATTTGCACCACTGTTGTATACAGAGAGAGCCTATTCCCGTTTCCTACTCAATTTTCAGCACCATACTGACTTTTGCTCTCTTGCATTAACATTGATACAAATAAAAGAAGACACGGAACTCAAATATCCAGCATATATGACAGTCTTCAAGTACTCTTGATTAAGCATTATCCCCAAGTTGAAGAAAAGAAATAACCTGCTGCACAGACCTTAGCTAGTTATTCCTCACAACAACCCTGTGAGGCAGGATGAAAAAGATCTCCTTTTCCAGTGACAGGAGTCAAGGCAGAGAGCACAGACGACATTTCTCAAGGCAGTAAGTGGAGAACTAGAAAAGCTGAAACTCAGGAGTTCTTGGCTTCTGATTCTTTGCTTCAGAAACCAAGGTGCTGAACTCCCAGACATTATCAGGTCAATAGTAATTTTATAGCCATATATTAATGACAATTATGTTTTCTGTGCGTATGCCAGCAAAGCATAGTTCTACAGCAACAGCAGCAGCATAAACCTGATACTGCCCTCAGACCCTTCTCCTGTACTTTATCTATGCCAGTAAATGTTTGCTGTAATTAACTAATCAATTCTACAACTAACGTAGCATAGGTAATTGCAATAGATCAACATTTTATTTATGGATTTAAGACTTTTCTCTTTTATTTCAGAATTTCCTCCCCCCTCTGGGTAAGTTAACAATAATTCACTTTCGCTGTGTTTTAGGTTTTATATCCTCCCCTAACATAAGCACATCCATTCTGAGTACTCTCTACGAAAGCTTTGAGTGACGGTGAACAAGACACCTTCAGGGATCACACCCATCCCCTCTGAAAGGTCTTCACCCATCCTTGGCCCTGACAGCAAAGATAGGCACTTTTTACTGTGTACAGCACCACAAGGGCCGGAATTGTCACTGAAGTGTCTTTTGGACTGGGGAAGAGGTCTCCAGGCTGCTCTATCCAAACCCAAAACTGTTTCATATTGAGCTAAAACAATCACGTTTTTATAGAGACTTCTAATCTGCAAAACCTCTGTGAGCTCTGTTCACAGCAACAAAAATGGCCAAACTTTAAGAAAGTAACTTGTTTGGAATGAGTGAGTAACACAGGGAATACACCTGAACAGAGTAAACAAATGAAAATTAAATTCGTGCTTATCCTCGGTTAAGATACTCTGGAGTACTTTGATCAATTTAGTTTCAAATCTTGCATGCAAATTACTCACCAACAAAATCACTTGTATATATTTAATCATTAAATTAGCACTAGTCTTTGTATAACACATTTCTCTCCCATAGGTTTTGCCTACACGTTCAGGCTATACGACAGCCTACCACCCATGAGCACCTGTGAGTTCAAGTCATACAGTTTAGGATTACGGGAGTATTTTTGTTCAAAGGCATTTTGTTTATTCCTTTGTGGGAAGAAGGACAACGTGTTCTGGTACCAACAAAAGAATTATTTAGAGTAAGCGCAACTAAACAAAATCTCTCTAATCAAAACAGTTTTACTGCGATAAAACCTATCTGTTGACGAAGACAATTGTTCTAACTATACCACGAAAGAGAAGCATTTCTTATTTTGGAATGGAAAAATGCAGTACAAAGGCTAGTACAGGAGCCAAACATTTCAGGACTTTCCTATGTGGTTCCCTATGAATTTGTTACATTCCTTCCACAACACACACTCACTATGCTGAATACCTCATCCACTTAGCATTAGAATGCTCTTCTATACCATATCCCAACACCACTTATCACATGTATGATAAGCACATATATACACACACATATTTTATTTTTGCACTCCCTCCTTTTGTCTGAAGGAACTGGGGCTATTTAGTATGAAGAAAAGGAGGCTCAGGGGACAGTTTATCACTCTCTAGAACTACCTAAAAGGTGGCTGGAGTGAGGTGGGGTCTGGCCTTTTCTCACAAGTAACAAGTGACAGGACATAAGGAAATAGCCTCAAGTTGCACCAGGGGAGGTTTAGGTTGAAAATTAGGAAAAATTTCTTCACTGAAAGGGTTGTAAAGCCCTGGAACAGGCTGCCCAGGGAGGTGATTGCATCACCATCCCTGGGGATGTTTGAAAGTAGTGCAGATATGGTGCTTAGGGACATAGTTTAGCTGTGGACTTTACCAGTAGAGTCAGGTTAATAGTTGAACTTGATGACCTTAAAGGTCTTTTCCAATCTAAACAGTTCTATGATTTCACATGTTTTTCAGTCACTTAATCTGCTCCAGTCCTGATATCAAACATTACATCAGGAATTATTTTAACTGAAGTGTTTTAAGTGTTCCTATTTTTATGAATGAGAAAAACCATTATATTTGGAGAGAACACTGTGTTTTAGTGAATGCAGACTTCCAGTCAACTCATGCTCAGTATAATAAAAGCACAATGTGTTGATTTGGAATGTGAGATCCAAAGTCGTCATGTCACTTATTTGCAAAAATAACTTTTGTAAATAATAACAGGGAAAGGAAGATTTTTATCAAATAGCAGAACGAGTATGAAAGAATGACTTTTCATTTTGATTGTCTCATAGCGTTGCTTCTGGTTACCATGAGTTTGCGTTCCAAAGTCTTTAGATTTTGCTGATGCCTTGATTGGCAAGTGGTGCAAAATTAGGGCTTTTACCCTTAACCAACTATTCCCTTCAGAAGAAATCTTTGAAGTGCCCACAACCTTCTCCTCCCCTGTTTCTCTATGTTAACACTGGAAGGACAGACCTCACTCCAGAAACAATCCTCATTTGCCTTTGAATGGGGGATGGGCAGAAGGATTGTATCAGGAGAGCAAGAGTGGTTCACGTATGGTAACTGTGCAGCTACCAGTTGTCTGCATGGGGATGGAGACTTCTCAATCCTCCTCCTTCACACTAGCCCCATTCTACTTTGTGCGATTTAAACAGAAGGGGTCGGAGTTGGACTTTGGGAGTGTAGGCTTCTTAACACCAACACACACTGTGGAAACAGCTGATACATTCAGGGCTAAGGACCCAGTTAGTTCCACTGGGTAAACAGTTTTGTCCCAGACTCATTCAAAGGTTCAGGTAAAGGGAAGTCCACAGTCCTGATGTCTCTCTATAGCTGTGTACACTTTGCTGTAGATCATATCAGAAGAAAAACCAAACAAACCCACACCTTTAGAAGAGAATGGACACGGTAAGTGCTGTAGTTCCAGAGCAATGGAGTGATTTGTAAGTTTAACAACATCAGGAAAAATAGAGGCAATCATAAGTTTTCCATGGTCATTTTCTGAATCTGCATAAGAAATGTAGTATTTGGCAGAGAGACTACAAGGCATTTTTTTGACAATGCTCATTAACGTTTTACTATATTGTTATTAAAAATTTAGGGAATAAATTCACCCTTCCATTACAATTGGTAATGTTATGAAAGTAAATTACAATTTAGGCTGATAGTCACAGACTGTGTTTAACTATCTGGACACTACTTACAAAGCCCTTAAAAAAAAAAACAAAAAAAGAAGTAAAACTGCAAACCAGTCATTGATTTCTCTTCACTGAGCTCGCATTTGGGAACAAGCCTTCTGGCAAGTGAAGCCCAGTCTATATTTCATGGTTTAAATCTGCCTCATTGGTATCAGTTTTGGAGAAACCTATCGAAAAAGGAGGGAAAAAAGACAACAGTTGGTATACAGATATAGCATTAAAACCCATCACTCACTTCCACCTCTGTCAACTATATGTCCATGAAGACACTGTATTTGTTTAAACATATATTTGCAGTATTTCAGAGACAGACACTCCCATGGCTATATTTTCTGATGCAGAAATACAAGACGTGTGGTAATAGTATCCAGCCTCTAAGTTTTATTGAATTTGAGTTGGGTTATTGACTTAAGAATGCAAACAGGTTAAACTTGGACAGCTGAACCTGTACATTTCCCTGCTGACTGTATAGTCTTCTCAAATGGGTTCTGATGCTGGCAGGGATAGCTCAACTCAAGTGAAGCAGCTCCTCAACTGCACCTCGTATGAGATGGCACAAGAACGTAACTCAAAAATTGTCTCTGGCTCAGTTAGTACACTTTCCCATGAATGGTCAAAGTTTGTGCAACAGTGGGGCTGTGCTTGACATGAACAGCAATAGCAGAGAGAGATGCAGACAGGCAACAGCTTCAGCCATCACCTCCTAATCCACCTGCATTCACACATCACACACAATGATGTAGAGGCAACAAAACATATTGAGTCCAAGATTGAATTGCCATTAGAAGATTAAAACAAGCATGGCAAGGCATCTTAAACTGATGACCTCCCTTCTTTGCTCAATAGCCAAGTTCATTCTGCTTCTCCTCCCTGCTCACCAGGAGACAGGATGCTGCTGTCTGTCAGTGCTGGGTTTGCACAGGAATAGTCAACCGAGTTTTGGAACACACATAGTAGCAGGGGATATACAATCAAATGTATACATATGTGACACACATACTGTACCTACAGTATAGGTATATGTTTGATTTGCCTATTTGATGATGATAATATAATCCAGTGCTTCTAATTTTTTTTTTTTAATTTTCCTTCTTTCATTCACATTCTTTTGATTTGTTTGATGATTATACAGTTCAATACTTCTCATTTTACCTTTTCTTACTTTAAACTTGCCTTTTTCCATTCACATTCATTTTTGTGTGAGGATGCACTTATGTATTCTGTTGTTTTAATTCCACACACTCATAAAAATCTATGAGTGATAAGATATACAGCAGACCAAAAATAAAACCCAGTAAGCCTAGAGCAGGAACCTAGATTTGGAAAGGTGTAAATAGGAACAATACAGAGGAGAATGAAGAATAGCAGTGGTTGAACCCTGACTGCTAGGTCTGTACAAACACCCTGAGGAAAAGCTCTTCACAGAAGTTCCAGGCCTCTTTAAATACCTCCTGTTGCCAGCTGTATTTAAATAGGTGCTCCAGGATCAACACCAAAAATAATTCAGATGATCTTACTTGTTCAGGATGAAAAACAGTTCCACAGGTAATCTGGCTCCCGGCTGATTAATGTGTCCCATTGAAACATCACATGCTGCATTCTTTCAGCCTCCTTATCCCATCTTTTTCACTTAATGGCAATGAACAAGCTAAGTCATGAAAGAGTGATACATGACAGCCTTTCCAAGCATTAAAGCCTCCTTCTTCTAGAGAAACAGGGCTGTGTTTCCTGTACCAGTTAGATTTCTACATTATCCTTCCTCCAGCCTCTATATATCATCATTTATACCTTATGAAAATAGCCAATAAGGAAAGCTTCGTTCATGAGGAATGTGTTTACTCTATCAAATGCTAATGAAACATTTTCAGTACATGGAAACTGCTCCTTGATTTTTCAGAGCTGTGTGTGAACTAGGATAATAAATAGATGTAACAGGTACAAGTGTAGAAGAGCTGGAGAAATTCCCTGAGTGCACCAGCAGCATTCATGGACCAGCTCAGAAATGTTTCAACATTTCTGACCTCAAGTGCCTACGCACCTCACCTAATTTGGGCCTATTTCTGTCTCACTCAGGGATGGTTCCATTGAAGTTAAGGAAAAAACTGGAGGACAAAGATACCACCATTAAAATATGTATTCTTCAAGTAATGACAAAAGGCAATTACTGGAGAAGATTATTTGTTTTCTGCTGTTGTAGATTTTGGTGCCATCAAAACCTCAAGTGCTTTACATTTGAATGAGCATATTATGTTAAAAGCAATGTCTGCACATCTGATGCTAACAGCTGTCATTTGTGTGTACCACTATCTCTTTACACAGGGTCTCATCCCCCGACTGCTAAAGTGCCTTATTACCTGCTGAAGATAACAGAGGTGGAGAGAGCCCAGCACCACTTAGAACTGGACCCAAATACGACTGTTTGCTCTAAATAAAAAGTGACTAAATAAGAAGAAATATGCTAATATATTTCAAAAACATATAATAAAAGAGATGGTTTATGCTTGGAAAACAGGGAATAATCAAGTATGAAATGCAGAAAGTCCTCCAAGTTCACTGCTTTAAATCCCAGTTGAGTCAGTCAATCTGGTAACACCCTGTGCTAAGAGCTAGGCACATCCAGCTTAATGAAGACTATTTTATGGTATGCAGCTACAGAGTTGCCACAGTCCAACAGTACCTGCTAAGCCACACATTCTTATTATTAAGAATATTAAGCTGTGGGTTAGCAGGTACTGTTGGACTGTAGCTGTAAAACCCATCATTCACTTCCACCGCTGTCAACTGTGTCAATGAAGACTAGAGCTAATAGAGATTAATATTAATAATCCAGCTCTGTGGAGGCCTTATTGTGGCCTTCTGGTATCTGAAGGGGGCCTACAAGAAAGGAGAGGGACTTTTCACAAGGGCTTGAAGTGACAGGACAGGGCGTAATGGGTTCAAAATGAAAGAGGGTAGATTTAGGTTAGACATTAGTTGTTCTTCACTGTGATGGTGACGAGACACTGGAACAGGCTGCCCAGGGAAGCTGTGGATGCTCTAACGCTCCATGTGTTCAAGGCCAGTCTGCACGGGGCCTTGTGCAACCTGGTCTGCTGGGAGGTGTCCCTGCCCATGGCAGGAGGATTGGAACTAGATGATCTTTAAGGTCCCTTCCAACCCAACCCATTCTATGATTTTATGATTCTATGACTATTTCACTTATAGTTCTACCTTGGAGGCCTCACAATGCTTTGCTAACATTGAAAGGGTAGGCGTACTGGGAGCGGTTTGTCTGGACAGCCCTGTATGCAGCCTGTGAACTGCCAAGAGGACACACAGCCCCAGGGAACCCCTGCAATTCAAGCTTGTTGACTCTCTGATTTCCAACCCCAGCTACCCTGTTCAGCTGCACAAACAGGCCTATGCTTATTTCATTACGTTTCTTTATAGCAAGTAATTCTTTCAAGGCCTGACTCCAAATGATACTGCATCCCAATAACTTCTAATGACATTATCAGATGCACAAAAGCAACTTATTGTTCAAAAACTTACAAACAGATCCTCAAAAAAAAATAATGACAAGTGTTAGCATATTTGTTAAAATAATAAAAGTTACTTATTCCTTATTAATAACTAATTATTTCCAATTTCAGGTAAAAGATAACCACAAGTCCAAGACTGGATTTTGTGTAAAAATCTGTTCCTAAGGTGACTTTTGCAGTGGGAGTGACTGATCAGGAAAAAACACAACATCCATTTGAAAATGGATTCAATCTTCCAGCAGCCTGTTTCCTCAAAGGAAAATGTACTTCCAGAAAACAAAACCATATCCTCTACTATCGTGTACCCACTGACTTGAACTTGGATTGTCAGTTTCTTTTTAAACATACAGTAGTCAACTACTGTTCAACTACCTAATGTTTCCTTGGCAGATGCTTTTCCTGAACTTCATGTTGTCTTTTAAGATAATTTTATAAAACTGAACTTTTACATTGAGAAAAAAAAAAAAACAGAAGGGAGGATGGGGAACTTTTCTTCACACAGACTTACCCTGATTATTTTTTTAACTAAATACATCTGCAAAACTATGTTTCTCAGTATGTTCTCTCATGGTCTCATCAACAGTATAAGCCAGTACAAGCCCAAACAGATTACCTGCCAAGGCTACAGCAAATCTGATTTAAGCCAGCACTTAGTCTTCACAGCACAGTAAAATCAAGGGCAAATTGCTTATTTTTGATATGACACCAGTCTATAATGAAGATTGTTGACTCTAAATCACATTTTTTTTTTTGACATTTTGTTGTTGCAAATGTCCTTTAAGAGATGTTTTTCCAAATAAGCAAGCAGGCTGTGAAAATGGACGTGTATAGACAAATGTGTCTCAAAGCAAGCCGATCAGGCTACAAAGTTCTCCTCTTCAAAAATAAGTAATCTGCATGGGTAGAGACAGCTATATACAAAGGTACAGCCATCCCTTAAAATCCCACTTGTAATGAACCTAGAAAGATGTTTGGTTTAGTTCAGATCATCCTCTGCATCCATTGAGAAGGGTCAACACATTTTCCACCCCTTAGCTGTGCTTCAAACTAGCAAAACATATGATGTGAAATCCTGCTTTTACTGTATCAGTACAATATCACTAAAGTTCCTGTCACTGATACAAACAAGAACAAGATGTCTCATTCAGTGAACATAAATAACCACAAACACAACTGTTATTCTTGCAAGGAAACCTGAGGCAGAGTCTTGAAATGAGGGCAAAAAAAAAGACCAAGGATGCTTCTCTCTGGAAAAATGTCTATTGCAATGCTCAGATCTCTACTTTCTGAACAACAAAGCTAAGTGAAAGAGCTGTAAGTGCTCACTACATATGAAAACTAGGCCATAAAGTGTCCAATATTACGCAACAATGACCCAGTCTTCTTGCTGTCACAGACGTCAGCAGAACTTTTGGTAAGGATTTCAATGAAAGGAAGGACTGGAAACATTCTTTAGAGGAGAGGAAAGAAGTGAGTGGGTTAAAAAAAAAAAAGGACGAGCCAGCACTTTTCCGCATCGCAGCTTTAATAAACAATGTGGCTCATGCTTTCCATGTGCAGCACTACAGAGATTTCAGGCACTTTTGGAACTAACAATCTGTAGGTAACACTGACCCCCAGGCATACGTTAGCAGAGGTACATGACTTGCAAGCAAGCATTGCTTTGCAAGCACTTATGCAAGTCGCATCCTCTCAAGATAAATATATGAAAGTGCATAAACCAAGGAGCATCTGCATTTTTTATGCCCACAGCTCTTTTACTGCAGCTTGTGATTTCATGCATGACCACAGCAGCCATACAAAACAGACTGTACTGGAGTTTGCCTTCAGGAGAACTAGGAAATGGTGCCTGTGAAGAGTCCCTGATCCCAGTAAGACAGATCCCACTGACCTAGATGGTAGATTGCTGCAATACCTCTCATCAATTTCTAACTACAGGCTATCAAGCTATGAAGATTCAAAATTTACACCACTTCTTTGTAACATTTGCATTAAAACACAAAAGGACAGTGGGTAATGTTCATATTTTTTTTGGTCCTAATTGTTTTGACCTATAATATCCATCATGCTGCAGCTGCATGCTGCTCATAGCCCACCATTTTAAGCTTATCACTTCTTTGAATTTTTTGGTTGCTTTTGCTTCCATCACCCTGAACACAGGCTGCTGGACTTTACTTTGGGTAACACACTCTCAATTAAATACATACATACTGGTCACCTGAACCAAAAAGCAACCAAATCCTTCCGAACAAGCAGGTTTAGACTGGTGTCTTCTGATGAAAAAAAAAGTCCTTTCCTGTAGTTTCTATATATTTAAATACTTACTAAACTTGTCACCTTCAAATCCATCATGAAATTAACCCTCAAATTAAATATGCAAGAACAAATACGGGTGAGGGACTGCAACAGACCAAAATGTACAAGGTCATTTTTTATGTTTGAATTTTGGATACTAGCTGTTTGACAGGCTGATCAGCCAAAGAAAAAGAAGCCCTGACATTACATAAGTTTTAAAAAATTGATAATTTTTTCCTAAGTCACAGTCAGAAGTTGAATAAGTAATTTCTTTTGCACATAGAATTGCTGCATATGGAAGGTTGTTTCCACTGTAAATTAAAAAATAATAATGACTTCCATAAAGTATTACATGGAAAATTAATAATGGAGCAAAATGATTTTGTAGCAGTTTCCTGTTCAGTTGCAGGTCACTCACCTTCAACTGAACAATTTTTTCTGAGAGAAATGAATGTATTTTCAGGAGTAAACAGAAACAGATCCTTGTTTAAAATATTTAAAACCCTAGAAGAAGAACATAAACTATTATATTTAGTTACCAGAAGTGCTCTCTTACAGAGACAGGAAATGAACTAAATTCCACAAGCCCACTGTTCAGAAAGTTTTACTTAAAGACAATATGCTCAAAGCCCTAATAACAAACTCTTCCACATACTAACTGCTCTGCAACCTCTCAGTTATGTGCCCCAGCCCTGTCATGAAACTCTGCAAAGAAGAAGAGTATTGCACTTCATTACCAAATATTTTCCAACTAATTTTACAGCACAGTTTGTGCACTGCCACACTCACTGTCCTCACCAAAAGAGGGCTGACTTGCCTGAAAAGAGTTCACAACACAGAAGAAAATATGTCACACTATGTGTGGAGGAGAAAGCCATGAAGAAACTGTATGCTATCAACCACACAGATGCAATTAGTTACAATCTTGTGCAATACAACTTTCCAATAATAAGCCACTTTTGTGTTAGCTTTAAATGAGACTAAAAAATGGATGTGAAGGTCAAAAGGCAGTCACTTTCTGGATTAATGTAGAGCATAAGTCTCATTCATATAAGGCAGTGGGAGAGAAAAAGCAAAGATTTCAACAGTAGAGCATTTAACTAAATTGCACTAGTAAGATGGAGTGGAAACGTAGTCACCCCTGTTGAGAGGACTCACAAACCGACCTAAAGACAGCAGGAAAACTTAGGAACAGAGAGTTAGGTTAACCTAACTTGTACAGTAGGAAAAAAAATATTCATCCACCTCTCAGATATGAATCAGCTCCCCTTTTCAAAGCATTGTAGAAGTTCCCTTTTCAACACTGTCATTTTACTTAGTCATTTGTCAACCTGTGCTGGTTTTCCTAGCATATAATGCTTCCAGTATAATCATACTAGATTAGCCCTGAATTATCTTCCTGTTTTCACTGTAAATCCCACGGGTAATCTACTCAGACCCTACCTATAAGAAGGAAACTTACTGCATCTACAGGTCTTCATGTGATGAGTATTTGTGGAGAATATTTGTTCTGAGACCAACCTCACTATTCTTGTTTGTAAAATGACTTACCATGAAGTCACAGCCAGTGCTTTTCTTGATATCATCCACTGTCAGTCCTTCCCAGATTTCCACAAGGGTCAATCCCTTCTTCTTGTCCACATCAAACACAGCCTGTTAGATTCAAATAGCACATAACTTTTTATTATCAAAGCAGAAACAAAGTGGTGTGTTGGAAGCAGCCAGCATTCCCTCAGTAACAAAAGATGTCATTATCAGATGGTTTCACTTTTCACTTGTCTGAGTGACCAGTAAAGACTTCTGCTACGTATCTTTCTACCTGAAAAAATCTAAAACACGAGTGTGTTACTTTTGTGGGAAAATCATGCAACTGTTTTTCACTGCAAGAAATGCAGCCCATGCCTCCTGCTCTAATCTGGGAAGAACTGTGAGGCCCAAAGGAAAGGTCTGAGACAGGCTCTGCTGCAAGACAATGCTCACCAAGAGATCATGAAGGAAAACAGAAAAAGGCAGTCTCCCTCATTCTTCTATTTAATTTTAAGGCCGGCAGAGAGTGGTGGTGGTATCAGTAGAGAGTGACTGATACCTCTGTCAGATTGTAAACTTGTCCACCAGCTACTGCACACTCAATAGAAATTTTAGATTTCTTCTTGTATTTTTAATAGAAAGCCTGGGAGGAAGCAGCTGGAGGAGGAAAGGCTGTTCTTTCTGTTTTCTTCCTAAGATATGCTTTCCACTTCCAGAGCTCAAAGTGCACCAAATAAAAGCATCTGTAAAACAATGTGCACTTTAATGGTGCCTACCAGAGGAAGATATGCAGGTTGCAAGCTAATTGCTAGGGAAATCATGAGGTCTGTAGTCATTTTCCTTACATGCAAACAAAAAAAAGAGTCAGTAGCAAACCACCAGTGAAGACTGAACTTCACATAAAAGTGAAGTCTTAAACTCATCACAGAATTGTACTAAAGTTCAGCTGTCCTCTGGGCACATGAGAATGTTTTATGGGACTGAAAAGTGATATCTTATTCTAAGTCTTAGAAGAGAAGCTGGACATGAGGAAGAAGTTCTTCCCCATGAGAGTGGTGAGACCCTGGAATGGGTTGCCCAGGGAGGTGGTTGAGGCCCCATCCCTGGGGGTCTTTAAGGCCAGGCTGGATGAGGCTCTGGGCAGCCTGATCTAGTGGGAGATGTCCCTGCTCATGGCAGAGGGGTTGGAACTGGGTGATCCTTGTGGTCCCTTCCAACCCTGACAGATTCTGATCTGTTTTAGCAGAGGACTTTAGAGCCCTAATGGCTCAATGGTTGGACTTGATGATCTTAAAGGTCCCTTCCAACCTGAAGGATTCTATGAGTCTATGATGCTATGACATAAGGAACATACACACTAGGAAGCTATTGTGGAAATAGAATTTGCAACACTAAGTACTGTTGTACATTTGTGTCATCCAACATAGCAACCAGACTTGACAATTTATATTTGTTAAAAATTTCTGCTTCTTGTTAATTTTCTGTCGGTCTTTGTTCACTCTCATTTTTTTGTACTGTACATTTGTATGTGGCTAGTTATTAGAAGACTGGAAAAACTTCCTCATTTTCTTCCCCTCCCCTCTCCCTCCCCACTCTGTGGATAAACACCCTTTTAAATTAAAGTAGCCATATACCACCAGGAGAAAGCAAATTCTACATCAGCACCTTTGATGCATTGTACTGAGTATGACAGATGGCTCGCAGAGGGACTACTCCAAGCCCTTAAAATGTGAACACTGATAATAAAAGGAGTATGATTACAGCAAAAACCTTAAGTCACTTATCCTTCGCTGAAAAGATCCACTAATGTACTTTGATCAGCAGCAGTATCAGATGCTCACATGTACTTGCACTGGAGAGTAAATTGTAAAACAAATGTAATGAAGTAAAATTTAAAAGAACTTAAAAGAATTAAAGCCCTGCTACAGCCACATGTTGTGTTTCTCTGAAAGAGTCTAGCATACACCATCTCTGACATATATGTGCTACACAGTTGCTGCTCTGCTGAAAAACAAAAAAACAAACATAAAAAACCAAAACCAAGCTGTGATTACAGATGCATTTGGGGATTTGCAACTCACATGGAAAACTTTCAGTAATACTTTGGGAAAAATAAGGAAATAGACATTCTGCATACCTCCCATGAGTGGCATCTTTGTTTCAACAGTGATGGCAAGTATGGTCCTGTATGCTAGATGTCAATGGTGAAAGCTTTAGAGCAAAAAATTTGACCTCCGAGACCTCTGGAGTTGAACTCCAAGGGAATTTTTGCCCTTCACTGGCAACAGATACCAAATATATTCTTCATTTTCACTAAGCTTCACTACTTTTACTAAGTGTCTCTTCTTAGGGAGAGGAAAGCATTGACAAGGATTCAAGAACAGTACTTTACCTTCTCTGTAATGATGCGGTTTACACATTGTTTCCCAGTAAGTGGCAAATTGCACTTCTCCAAGATTTTATGGACATTACCCTGTGTTTAACAACATACAGACAAACATTAATTTTCAAAAACAGCACAAATTACTCAGAATTCAAATATGTGTACAAAAAACACAGCTGTAGCCATTCGGTCTTTTGAAACATTCCCTGTACTCAGAATGTTCTTTCAGTGCACTTCTGTGTCAGACGACACCTCTGGGGACTTGGGACAGTTATTACTGAAATCCCACACATAGGGAGGTGACTAATAAAAAATCTCAGTGTACCACTGAGTGGGCTCCCAAGTTTAGAAGTTCTGCATACTTCTGTTTAATAATTTGTCTTCCTGCTGCGATGTGAGGCTAAGAGATACATGGGACCTCACCAATGACACATAAATGACAAAAAGCATGGAAAGACACTGAAGGCATGACACTCCTGTCTTACACTTTAACAGTAAGCACAGAGTCAGCCATACACACAGGCATTTCAAATCCCCAGGGCTCAAGTGCATAATCATGCTCTGAAAATAGTAAATCCAGTTTCTTTACCCCCACTGAATTCCCATTCCCTCCACCTCTTCAGTAAAGGCCAAAAGCAGACTAAGAGATGTGTGCAATATATGCTCATTTTCAGCTGCTACACAGAGGTTACACTATCTCCATTTTAGACAGAACAAATTAGTATGCAAATATAGTAGAAAAGAATGTATCTATAGAAAATAGGATTTACTTTAATGCACTTCTTTTTCTGGGGCATCGAATGGCAGCTACTCTAAATCCTGGGAAAAATATTACCTAATGAGAAGACATAGCTTCTGATAAGAAGCTGGGCAGGTGAGGTTTGGATGGTGAGTTTTGGGGGCTTTCCTTCTCTTCCCCCCCCCCCCTTTTTTTTTTCCCCTTCGATTTTTTTAATAGGAGTTCACAAATGGCATTAGATACTGTTAAATGAATGTAGGCTGCAAGAGCTGTGAATGGATATAAAAGAGACGAACACTGCATTTTTAGTCAGTACTTGTAGGCGTTTTACAGAGGTAGCATTAAGTGTACATTTGTCCCATTATCAGATACTTTTATTTTTGCTCTGATTATCATTTTTCAGCTATGCATTTCAAAACTCTCAGGGTATTACATGTCTCACTTAACCCTCTGAACACAATACTTTTTAAATTTACAATAATCAGTTTGCCTTAAGGCTTAATATAAGCTCAGGAACCACCCCTCAGACAGTTTGACTCCTGAGTGATAACAAAATGAACAATCCATGTGTTTTTAAATTTATCTTTTTCTGTGAAGAACTATTTCTTCACTATAATTATACTGACAATATCCACATCTGGTATCAAGATAAGTACTCTGATGAAACTCACTCACTCTTAATGAAAATAATCACTTGCTCTAGTGGTACCCTCAGTTGATCTGCTTGTGGCTTGCCCATCTCCAGGACCTTCCTGTGCACTTTGCCAATGATTAATCTGTGCTGTTTGTAATATTATCAGTAACACATCAGGTATACATCTCAGCCATATGAAATGAAGTGTCTTGTCTTGGTAGCAAGTTGATATTGAAATGCATAGACTTGCAGAGGTGACAGCCTGAATGGCACCTGTGACCCTCAGGACTGATATATATTCCAGCTTGTTAAAACTTCAGCTGAAGGTATTTTTATTACCAGTTAGCATTAAAGGCAACTTTTGGAAGAGATCAATCAGAGCACTATCAAAACAGGAATCCAAATGGAACTGCATGAATTTTTACTGTCTGAGTTTATATGGGATTTGTTCAGATAAAGGAAAAGACTGTTGAGTAAATACATAAAACCTTAATGTATTTCAGTCTGCTTTAAGTAAAAAAAAAATCTGCTGCTGAAGAACAAAAATGTCCTTAATCTTCCACAAGACATTAAAATCAGAACTATTCACAATGATAGAAAGAAATTTTCAATTCAGCGCTCCATGTTTCAGTCATGCCTGAATCAAGCGTTTAAAACTAGTTTCCATTCTATTTTTCCGAATACTGTAGATAACTCATTTGACAACATAGAACAATTACTAGCCATTACTTCACTACGTTTTGCAAAACATGTCAATGATGGTATTGGGGTAAGAACTTGACTTTTATTTCTCTTAGGCAGTATTTAGATTAGGCACAGATGTACAGTGACTGTTTGGAGGTTAAATAACAACCTTGCATTCTATTATTTTTCTTCATGGCTACAAAAAAAAGCTGACTTGGCAAAAAAATACATTAAGAAACACCATATAATGAGAAGACTTAAGGTCCATTTGTCAAGTGTCTCACAGTGCCTAAGCATACAGAGCAACAACTGAGCCACCCTTCCATAGACACACCCTTCCTGGTTCCTGACATGCTGTGATGTATGGATTTCCTGAGCTAGAGTGCTTCTGGCCAATGCTATTTAATTGTCACTGATGAACTTAACCTCATAAAACAGTGTAGTTCCTTTTATATAGTCTTAATTCTCTGAGCTCCTGCAACATCCTGCCTATTGTTCACAACTTCATTAGCTAGCTGTGAAAAATGTTTCTTCTTGTTTTAAAATACACTTGTTGCTAATTTCAGTTGGTTACCCCTCCTTCTTTTACAAGGCACTGACTAGCCGTTTTGCATCCGTCTTCTCCATTTTGTGTATATCTGTTATCCTCCCTCGACAGTATTTCTTAAGACGAAGAACCTTCCTCAAAAATAATTTCATGTTCCGTCACCATTCTTCTGTATGTTTTGCTTTTCATTACTTGCAAAAATTTAAGTAATTGAAAATGTAAATAATTTGGGGCAGGGAGTATATAGTTTTATTTGTAATATACTGTGTGTACCAGAGTTTAAAAAAAGGACTATACTTTGAATATTTATTTGAGTGTTGGCAGATACTGGTTCCACTCTCATAATTAAATGTAAATTATATTTTGCCTGCACTGCAAGGACTCAGCCTATTGCTATGTTCAAAAGCTGCAATATGTGTACTGAAAGGAGAATACACTTTTAAACTCCTAGAAAAACTACTTCAATGTTTAATAAGCCATTAATATTGCAGAAAGAAACTTAAAAAGGCAGACAAAACTAACTGAAAGAACTACTTATTACAGAAATTCTTGAAGGAACTCATTGAAGGTACTGCATATATGCCATACCTTCAACTGTATTTCTGTTCATCAAATCTTGTCTGCTGTTGATTTACAGGAGACTTTGGCATTTAACACAGATTTCTTATTATTTGGAGAATGACAAAAATACCCCTGTACTAAAAAGCCATCAGACATCACAGATTGTCACAGTGCATGCAGACATTTCTCTCACTCTGTAGCACACTAGGCTTTGAGCACAACAAAAGATTGCTTCTCTGATGCACAGACGCAACACATTTTGATAAAAACCGTGTTGTAAAGAATTAAAAATCCATTAATATAAAAGTAGCTCTGTAAGAAGGAGTCACTCAAATACAAGGCTTCTGACCTTCAGAACTGGTCTCACAGGTGGTATATTTGCCTTTTTTTTAAAAAAAATAAAAAAAATAAAAAATGGAGAGGAGCGTCTGAAAACTGTAACAGCAGCTTTTGCTTTCCAAACATTGGTCCATATCTCATCATCTTCACTTCTGAGTGAACAAGAAGCAGTATCAAGACCCCAAAAAAGAGTCTAAGTAAGAGGAAAGAGTACCAAGAATATCCTTCGTCTTAAAATAAGACTAAAATGAAAAATCATGCACACGGTTTAGTTTTGCAGTGCCTTCTCACACAAGTATATGAAATAATTTATTAAAGCCTATAACTGGCTCTCTGGAAGTGTGTATCAGGCATCCCACGTACATAAGAGTCCAAGTTATGTTGGCCTTGCATATGCTAAAATAAATAAGTCTATATCTGGACTTTTTGCAATAGTGAACCTATCTGTGTTTCCATCTTTGTCAGGTTTCACTACTCCTACCGACAAAAAAACAACATGCAAACAACTTCCAAAACTGTACTGAAAAAAAGATTTTGGTAGTAGTAATTCTACGAGAACAACTGGCATGAATAATTACACTGTGTGTGGACTCTGAACCCACCTTCACAGTAACAAGAAATTCAGCATAAATATTTACTCAGATTACATTAATACCTAAATTATGTGTCTGAGCAAATGGCTAATTACATATCCAGTTTTGGGGAGGCTGTCATAGGGATCTAAGCTCATATATATAAATTTGCATTGTACATTTATATACATATACACGAAAACTACTGAGTCAGATTCAGCCCTGCTACTGAAAATGTGCCTCTTGAGATCATTGGTTAGTATAAACTGTGAAAGTACTATATTTAAAAAAGAAAAACAAATAATTATTTAAAATTAAAATTCATTCTTCAAATCACATTTAAAAACACACACAACTGTTAATACATTTAGCTTTCACATTTATGTACTTAATACAGTTTACCATGAAAATTCCTTATGCTTGCCTTTTTGCCCCTTATGTATTCTGACAGGGATATTATACTGAACAATAGACAATTAATTCTTATTGCTGACATACAACAAATTTGGATTAACAGAAACACAGAAATTAAACAAAAAGTTAATTTTCAAACGTTTGGTACAGTTTCCTGAAAATAGAGATTTCTGTCCTTCAGTACATTTTTCTCAGAGTTTGGACAGTCCCAGTTTACAAGCTTAAAATTAAAAAATTAGCAACAACCTTTTGTGGGAGACTGTTTATATATATAAAACTCACCCCAGAAAGAAGTCACTAGAGCTCTATCACATAATGATGTAAGGCAGCAGGCATCTCATCATACCAGAAAGATCTATTAAGCTGTCAGTACCAATTTGACTGGCAACTTCAAAGGTAAATAACTCTCCATCATAACAAGTATTTAATGATGGGCAAACTCATTTTTCAAATTATTCTGAAGTAAAGAGTAAAATGGCTGGGGAAGCATCTACTGTAGCTCTAGCAATTGCCACTCATAAAATTTGGATGAAGTATCTAAAAAATGTGTGCACCTTTTAAACAACAGCTTAATATTTCATATTTTTCCATGGTAAATGATTCACTTAAAGAGGAAAGGAACCATACCAACCTAGTGCTCTGCTACACCTCCATAATAGCTAACAGCAAAACTGTCAAATCCTCACAAAGCAGCAGAATGAATGTAAGATGTTAAGATTTTTTTCTTCTTCTTGTTCTGGCACAGCACAAAACACTTACTTAGAAAGAACCAGCAGAGCCTTACCTTGGCTGAGTGCTCCATGGTGACAACCACCTTGGTCTGCGCACTGGATACCAGGTCCATGGCACCTCCCATTCCTTTCACCATCTTACCCTAAAATTAAGTTTTTAATGAAAATATTTAAAAAAAAAAAAAAAAAAAAAAAAAAAAAAGACAGAATGCTGGCTACCATGACAGCAGAAGATAGTCACCTTTTCCTGCATAGAAAGCCCATCTATTTCATCATCATTGTATTCAAACACTAACAGAGCTTCACCAGAGTGAAAAAAAAGCTATCTCATTCTAGGCTCTGTAGGATGCAAATAGGAGAAAAACAATGAATAAAATAAGGAACCACTACCACAGCTGGTGCCTTGGGGTATAACTTAAATCTGAGTATTTTGTTTTATAAATAAAATCTAAAAGTATACGGCTAAATGACTGGACAACTTCCTAGTATAAAGCTTTTATCTTATGCTTCCTTTTATTAGCTATGTGATTCAGTACCTTACAAGTATCAGTACCTATGGTCCATGATATAAAATATATGGAAGAGATTTGTCCGATTAACCTGGCAGGCCAGCAACTTCTTGGTCTCTTGATCATAATGAACAGACTAGACTAGACTAGACTAGAATAGAATCACTATGGCTGGAAAGGACCTCCAGGATCATCAAGTCCAACCTCCACCCCAACACTTCCCTAACCACTAGATCATAACCTCAAGTGCTGCATCTACTCTTTTTCTGAACACCTCCATGGATGATGACTCCACCACCTCCCTGGGCAGCCTGTTCCAGTGCCTAACCACTCTCTCAGGGAAGAAATTCTTCCTGATATTCAATCAAAATCTTCCCTGGTGCAACCTGACACCATTTCCTCTCGCCCTATCATCAGTAATTTGGGAGAAGAGACCAACACCAACCTCACTACAACCTCCTTCTAGGTAGTTGTAGAGAGCAATAAGGTCTCCTCTCAGTCTCCTCTTCTCCAGACTCAACAACCCCAGTTCCCTCAGCCACTCCTCATAAGGCATGAAGGGAATATACAGCGAGTACACTCTAAAAATACCACATTTTCATAGTCCTTGCACAGTGAAAAATAAATCACATCTTCCTATATTCACAAACAACACCTTCAGAATTTCTCAGGTTAGATAATTATTTAATATTAATCACATTAATTAACATTACTACTCTGTATTTCTCTGCAAATACAAACCTGAAAGGGATGAGAGGATTTATCTCTGTCCTTAAGTTGCTGGCACTGCTCAGATCATTTTTCTATCCTACTTGGAAATGCAGAGACTGCAGTGACCTCTTACCTGCCCACCAGAGGCTCACTGACAAGATAACAGAGTAGCTAAAGACAATGGATTACCTCCACAGTAATTCAGAATACGTTTACATTGAGAATTATGCTACCAGTACATCTATCCTAACACTACTAGTTCATTTTCTAGGCCTTGAAGTTCTATTAACTAGTAACAACCTATGGTAACCAAGAGATATCTGAAAAAATAAGTGCTGATGAAGAACGATGACAAAGCTACTGTGGCAGAAGCTGTCGTACAAGACTGAGAGAAGAGACTTCATCCCTTCGTGTACACAAAAGCAAGAAAATGAAAGTTAGGTTGAAGCGAAGGACTTAGGGACCTTAAAATTGCCACAACTGCTCCTCCTCTTTAGGCAAACATACTCATCACTGCAGGACAGTTGGTAAAGCAAATCAATTAAGCATTAGCTCCAATTAGCCAAGTATAATCACATGCTTTTATTAGAGGAATATCGAAAGCATAAGAGCCTTACATCACTCTCAGTGCATCTACCAAACTCTAATAACTGGCACTTTCCTTCTCACCATACTGGCAAAGGTATACAGCTGCGTCCTAAATTTGAATTAAAATGCTTGAGACTAACAGGTGATTCTGAAAAGACATTTTGTTCCTTTCTGCCTAGGATAAGCATGCAGACCAAACCAGTTCTGATATTTATAAATACTGCACATTTATGAGCAACAAGCAATTTCTGTTTCTTTTGAAATCTCAGTCTGAATAATCTTGGGATGCAAGTAGTGGAAATTCAAGGCCTTGACAGATTTTACTATTTTTAAAAATTAAGATATTCTGCTCTTCTGCTTCTTCACAACCATAAACTTCCATAAAGTTAGTGGATTTTTTTATAATGCCTACTTATTGAAAAATAAATAATTTTGTTATCGTGGTGACGGGGCATCTTTAAGAAAATATGAGAAGGGTATGTTTTTATTCCCTGATTTCTTCATATCTGAACTTCATTTGAATGGTCAAAATAGAACACTGAAGAGCCTAAGAAAGTAACTTAACCTAATAATTCCTAAGTGGAAACCTTCCCGTTGGTGTCAGTTGTAACATACAAGACAATCTGTAGCATTCCAGGAGAAGCTTGTGAGCACTCCAAGGTGGGCTAGGGCAATATTTTTCAAGCAGATGTGAAGTTTTTCCACAATAGTATTGCAAGCTAGCAAGATGCTGTAGGAAGCAGGAAATAATTAATAAGAGAACAGTTAAAAAGAAGGGGCAGAGAGAAAAGAGGAAAACTTAGGAGCCTTCAAACACTGTTAGTAACTAATTGTAGCTGGTCTTGAATCCATGCTGGTGTCTTACACCTTTCCTCTATGTTTGCAGGAGGAAGGATTTTTCTTCCATCACTGAATTTTATAGCTGTTCCTAACATCTTAGGATAAAACGCACCTGAACTGATCTGGTTATGTTAAAAGAACATAACTTTTTTCAGACAAACATATCACAACAAAAAACAACAAAGCAGATGCTAACAACACGTTCAAGGAACCATGAAAACCTACCAGTGGTCGACACAGAGTCTGAAGAATTAGAATGCAGATGGAAGTAAAAGCTTGAATAATTCGATTTAAAATTGAGTATCAGAGGACAGCCACGGTGAAAACATAAGGGACTGAGCTACTTCCTTGCTAAGAGTCCTTGCCCATGTTGCAAATTGTCCTAATATTCTATTAAATAAATAGCATTTAGTCTGAAATTTATCTTTCCCTCCATTAAATAAATGAAAGAATACATATGCCTCACACTATGCTAAAGTTAGAAAACCTATTATTTCAAAAACTCTTACAGAAGATAATGAATACTTCTAGTTTATACTACAGCTCTTTATTCCCATTCAATCTGAATTTTCAGGCATCCCCCTGGAATACCTTGAACGAGATACCTAGAATGAGGAAGATTTTAAGAATCTAAGTATGATAGGATCTCTGATGGCCACAGATGCAGACACAGTGGCAGGTACAGAACCCATGGCCAGTCTCAGCTTTTTTGAAAGGTAACAGTAGTTATGTTGTGCAAGGGACAGTTCAGAGCAACTGGAACAGTATGAACTCCACAGTGAAAAGCAGAAATGAAGGTAATGCTGTGGATGCAAGATACTTCCATCACCACCATCAATGGTGTTAACACTGCAGTCAAAAGGATGAACTTAGGACCCATTCAAAGTTTTCTGTTTTGCCTGTCTCTACACTGGTATGTACACATCACCAACATACATTAGTCACACAGGTCTCCTGCCCTGTGTAGGTTCTGTCTGTCTTCACAGATGTGCCAGCTTCAAATGGCACACACAGTGCAAGTAAGGAGGTCATTAGAATTATATATGTAACTATTCAACAAAACCACTTCATCAGATGCTGTGGGGATAGAAGTGGTTTGTTTGGAGTTTTTTTTGTTTGTTTGTGGGGTTGTGGGCATCTTCGCACAGACCTTAGCTTTGTACAAAAAGACACCAAACAGAAGGTAATATTAAAAAAATACATATGCATATATCTACCCTACATAAAAATGTAAACAACAATTCTGTGTCAATTGTTAACAGTACTGTACACTGTTTAAAGGGAAAGTATTTTTAATTGTTGATTCTAAAATGAAAGCCACAACTCTTCCAGATTTCACTTTCCATTTCTTCAGTGAAAAGGACAGGATAAAGACTATCAAAAAAAAAGATGGAAAAGATGAAATTAGGTGTTCTAAAATACACTTCCTTGTCCTGTTTTCCACTGATTTTATGTCTTTATATGTCAAGATTACATATAAAGTAATTATTATCATTATACTGTCAGCTCTGGGGACAACTTATAGCAGCCTTACAGTGCCTGAAGGGAGCCTACAAGAAAGCTGGAAGACTTTTTACACTGGCATGTAGTGATAGAACAAGGGGTAATGGCTTTCAACTGAAAAAGGGTAGATTTTATTAGATATAAGGAAGAAATTCTTTACTGTGAGGGTGGTGAGACACTGGAACAGGTTGCCCAGGGAAGTTGTGGATGCTCCATCATTTGAAGTGTTCAAGGCCAGGCTGGATGGGGCTTCGAGTAACCTGTTCTAGTGGGAGGTGTCCCTGCCCACAGCAGGGGCTTCGAAGTAGATGATCTTTAAGGTGCCTTTCAACCCAAACCATTCAGTGATTCCATGATTCTATGACTATGACAGCTAGACTAGATTTTACTCCGAGAGTATGGCTGAATAAAGATTACAAAGAAAGACTAATGGGATTTTTGAATTAGAAGAGTTGATAATGCAACAACACAACAAAGAATTAATACTAGCAGAATGCAGCAAAGCTTAGCACACTCTACATACACAACAAGGTGAAGATAATTTTTAAAGAATGTCCAAAATAAAGACTTAGTTATATGGCTTAGCCATATTCAAAATGATCTGATTTTCAAGAATGCTAACCAGGTATCTCATACCACACACATCATGAAAAGCAAAATTAAAAACTAAGTATAATTTTTAAAGAATGGAACATAAGTTCTTGAGTGACTGATACTTCTTGGCAAAATTTATTAGTAACACTTTCCCGAAGTGCAGCATACAGAAATATGTGCACTAACTATATTTATATTCTTACTTTCCATAAGAAGAAAATTAAGACAACATAAAATATGTGCAAAGAAAGGCGGTCAAATTTAATTCCTTAACTCTCCCATAAAACTAACTTGAATTAACTGTTGGAAACATATCTGAATGACTGAGTGAAATTCAAATGAATACACTGAGAAACTGCATCTTGGGAGCAACTCAAAACAGTCTCTGACATACTTCA